ACCTAGTTTAAGGAAAGTTTCCTCACAAAAACTCTCATTGGTTTAGTAAATGATTGGGTTTTCATGGAAAATGAGTTTCCTTTAATTTTGAGTGTGACACACTACATCAGAACTAATCTGATTTCTATCCTGTCCAATACTCTTAAACACCTTCTTTAGCCCTATGGTACATACACCAAGTACAGTACCTGGGCAAACAGGCCCTCTCACAAAAAGTAATCATAGTTAAAAAGCACCCAGGACAAGCTTCTCTTCCTCTCTTTTTATATCTTCCCAAGTGCATCTTACATTCATTAAGTCAATGTTTTCATGATTTACTTATTCTTTTAAAAGATCTGATTTACTAAGCATTCCCTAAGCTTAAAATGTACACCCGTCCTAAAATATTTTTTGCAATAGTAAAAATATTCTGTATCAAGAATGTCCAGAATGAAAATCAATATTCTTGTGTAGATATTAGCACTTGAAATGTGGTTAGTGCGAAGTAAGAAATGAATTTTTAACTTAAATTAGTTTTGCCTTGAATAGTAACACGTGACAACTAGCTTTCATACTGAATAGCACAGCTCTAATGTCTTATAAAATAAGTTAAACACAAAATTAAATAGATTTTTCTGAAAATTCACTCTCCAACTCATCTTTATAATAACACTTAGAGATTCCTCTTAACTGCTAGTACATACTACCCCTCTCTGACTGCTCTCTTACTTTTCTGGATTCAATTTTCTCCTTTAGGTCCCAAAAGATTGACTGTTACCTTGAGTCTAGTCATTTTCTGTACTCACACTCAACTATAAGAAAGTTATGGTACTATCATCCTTTTCCTACAACATATGAAACTGGACAGGGTTATGGTAAGTCAGAAGGGGAAAGAAAATATGAGAAGCTCTCACACAGAGGTGGGATATAGAAAAACAAAGCACGGGAAACAAAATGTTCAATAAAAACAGACTGATAAAAGAACTGATGTTATTGGAAAGGGGAATGGAAGCTGAAAGAGAAGGTCCACTGCAGGGCTATTGAGATTTTGATGATAGAGGTATGGTGTGGTTATATTTACCTCTAAAATATACGAACATTTATACTCAAAAACTAAAATAATTTCAATAAATTTTTAAATGAAAATGTTGTGGAAACTAGAGAAAACTGCATTATTTCCCTCTATATCCATGCACCAAATGCTGTCAATCATTTTCTTAGTCTTTTAAAACACACACTTTATACCCAAGTCAGATTTTCCACCACTGATATTGCACTATTAGGAGGGCCATAAGATGCCTTATCTATTTCTTATGCCTGCTAGACAATAAAACAAATCACTTTATAAATAAATCTCTTTCATCTAATCCTTCAAAAATGTACACATTTACATAACCTTTCACTGATCTGTCACCAGACTGAGTCTGACATTGTCATTCTACAAAGTCTATCAACCTTGCCAACTCCATCTTTTTTCAATTCCTCTCAGACTAATCTTTCTTAAATATGTAAAACTATTTCCTCTTCCTCTCTTTTGCACCTATTTTTTCTGTAGCCTATAATGCCTGACTTCCCTGGTCTACTTGTTTTGATTCCCTGCTGCCCTCTGCCCACCCTTTAAAAGAATCAATTAAGACTCCTGGCTTTGTGAAGCGTTTCACAAACTTCATCCTGATTTAATTTCAGAGTTACTACCTCTTATCCATTCAATTTACTTTTAGTATGTATCAGCATGGTATTTCTATGTGCTTTTATTTCAACGACTGTTCTGTACCTTCATGTAGAGCAGGGGGAGAGGGTTTTACTTTTTGACTTCTGATGGCCCAAACCCAGGGCTTACTCCTGGCTCAGCACTCAAAGATTATTCCTGGAAGGGCTTGGGAGATACTATGAGGTGCTGGAGATGAAACCCAGTTTGGTCATATGCAAGGCAAGCACCCCACCCGCTATACTATCTCTCCAGCCCAGTAGGTTTGTATTTTAACTGTTTCACCCTACAATATTTATTTCAGTAAAGTCTGATATAAAAAATTAAGTTAGTAGCTTGTGCAGGTGAGTATAAGGAGTCCCCAAATCCTAGAATGAGTCACAATTACATGAAAGTTTATAACTGATGTGTCAAGCTGTGGAAATACAGAACGGGCATTCAGTGTTACAAGGGTACAGTATGCCCTGTCAGTTCTTGGGTCACAGCTTAAAATAACTACACAGTTCAGGGCCAATGGAGGTTTGGGCCAGCACTGTTAAGCTACCATGGACTGTGTATTCCATAGATGACTATTTTAAGCTACACTTCTAAACAGCAAATAGAGCAATTAGGAAATACCTGTTTTCTATGTTCAGGTGTAGGTTAACTGGTAAGACATTTTCTGATTCTAACCATGTAAGAACCATCCTACATGCTCTCCCATGCAACTGAGCCTCATTTTCAGTTCTAGGGTAATTCAGGTATAGTATCTTTTTTTTTCTCTTCCAATCAAGATGAAGAGAGCATCAACGAGCACATATTTGGGGAAAGTGTCTTAGTTTTTTGTGTTTTAACTGACTTCCTTAGTCACAAATAAATCTGACATATATGGGGAGTGAGACAAGATTAGAACATAAGCTAAAGTTTGATTCACATATATGATGAATTCGCAATGTGACTGATATTTTAGAAACTCATTTCTAGGGAAAAGCTAAACTAGGAGATTTGTTTGTGCACTTTGTATGAGACTAAACAAAATAATTTAAAGACGTGTGTAGGCAAGGAATAAATTTCCTGTAAAATTATAATCAGGTGCCAGAGAACACAGGGTAACTAAGATGCTTACTCTACGGTAGACACTGGTTTGATTACTGGCACCACACATATAGTCCTCTGAGCAATATCTGGGGTTATCCTTGAGCACAAAGCAAGGAGTAAGCCCTGAGCACCAACAGGTATGGAGAATGTGCGCGCACACACACACACATTATTTTAAATTATTTCTACATTTCCTCTTATCAGGGCTGGAGCAATAGCACAGTGGGTAGGGCGTTTGACTTGCGCTCAGCTGACCCTGCTGACCTGGGTTCAATTCCTCTACCCGTCTCGGAGAGCCCAGCAAGCTACCGAGAGTATCTTGCCCACACGGCAAAGCATGGCAAGCTTCCCGTGACGTATTCGATATGCCAAACACAGTAACAAGTCTCACAATGGAGATGTTACTGGGCCCGCTAGAGCAAATGGATGAACAACAGGAGGACAGTGCTACAGTGCAGTTCCTCTTATCAACCATTATATATATTCCGTCATTTTAATTTCTGCACGCAAAAAAAGACAACAAATATATATAATTTATATTACTATTTTTAAACTAGTATTTTATATTACTAGTACCTCACAAAGTGACATCAATTACTTCATGGTCACTTAGTCATGCTAATTGGCAAGAGATGAGAAAGGAATGTTTAAAAACTGAAGAAGTGTGAGCCTCTAGGTTTGATTCCCAACACCATGGTCCCGCAAGCACCAAGTCAGAAGCAATTTCCCCAATGTGGTGAGACCTAAACCTCTACCCTCTCCAAAGCAAACCATTTCAAGAAGTAAAATCTTAACTTTTTGTACGTTTACTACAGCAGAAATAAGTATTAGCCCTTGAAATAACTGAGAAGCGTTGCCACCAGGGTGGTGGGGAGGAGGCAGAGAGAGAAAAAATGAAATAAAACAAAGTTCCTGATCACAGTAATTGATGCTCCCAAACAACAGTTTCTTCCATATTATCTTCATTCAAAAGATGACAATTTGACCCATTCAATTTAATCATAAAATACTATATACAACTGGAAATACTTAATGAAGTACTTAAAGGCTACTATGAGTTTCTAAGTGTGTGAAACTAACAAGAATTACACTATTTTTAAAACCTGAGGCAAAAAATGGGTAAATTTTGGATACAAAAATATGTGGAATCTATTATTAAAAGTTTGAAGCACTGTAGCACTGTCCTCCCGTTGTTCATGGATTTGCTCGAGCGGGTACCAGTAATGTCTCCATTGTGAGATTTGTTACTGTGTTTGGCATATCGAATACATCATGGGTAGCTTGCCAGGCTTTGCTGTGCTGAGGAATACTCTCAGTAGTTTGCTGGGCTCTCAGAGTGGGGCAGAGGAATCGAACCCGGGTCAGCCGTATGCAAGGCAAACGCCTTACCCGCTATGCTATCACTCTGGCCCAAAAGTTTGAAATAAAATTTAAATAACTACATTAAATTATGGCTTTGCTAGACACAAAAATTGTAATAATTGGAACAATTACTTAGCAACCAAACCACTGCCACTTGGGATAAAAGAAAACAAAATTAGCTTTAATACCATATTCCCGTGAGAAAGGAAAGAAGAAAAGAAAAAAACCAAACCCTTAAAAAAAATCCTTGCTTATAATTTTCTATATAGAAAAAAAAATCTGAAATTTAAATGTCTATCTCAAGAAGAAAGGCTTGAATTATCCAGATTATCCAGACTTTACCAACAACTAATGGTGTGATTTGGGTTAAACATGAAATCTGCTTTTGGTTTGTCTTATAAGTGAAATGACTTATAAGTGAAATGACTTATAAACAAACAAAACTGACTCAAAAAGAATTTATAAATGTTGCTTAAAAAAGCAGAACTTCTGTTAATTTCCAATGTTTAAAATACACTTACAGACATCATATCCATCTACAAACACATAGATAGTTACCTACAAAACACATATATCTCAGTATCTTTCTTTTTTTTACCACACCCAATGATGTTTAGGGCTTACTCTGGGCTCTGCACTCAGGAGTCACTTTCTGATCATGCTCCTCTAGAGGACTAAATGGGATACCAGCTATTGAACCTGGGTCAGCTGCATGCAAGGCAAGCACCCTACCTGCTGTGCTCTCTCCAGACCCCATCTCTGAATCATTTTTGTATCAAGTTCAAGTTATCTCTTTAAATTCAGCATAGTTAACATTATTTTTAAATTATAAGATTCTCTGTCAGAATAACTTTTTTTAAAAATCAGTATCCTAGTGCAGCCAATTAAGCCAACCTCTCTGCCACAGGGGACCTAATGAGCAATGGCTGCATACATCAAGCAATCTCCTCCATAGTGTATTCAGCCTGTGGCTTGTGTGAGCTATTCTGAAGGACCTTGGAGACAGTTCTCTGCAGTGGATATTACTAATAAATGCTCTCGTGCTAGCCCCAATGTCAGGCTCCAAACAGGTTTGGGAAGGTGGGGCTCTTGGAAAGCCTCAAGACACGGTGGCCAGGGTCCACACTGGCCAAGCTATCATGTCCAGCTGCATCAAACTGCAGAACAAGGAGTACATGACTTAGGCTTTGAGCTGGGCCAAGTTCAAGCTCCCTGGCTACCAAAAGAGCCACATCTCAAATCACCACTTCTTGGTGATTGTGCTTCTTTTGGCAAACAGGGAACTTGAATACCACCAAGAAGAGGGGGCTTTGCCAAATTTAATGCAGATGAGTTTGAAGACATGGTTGCTGAAAGAGGTCTAATCCTATATGGTTATGGGTTCATATACATCCCAAACCGTGGACCACTAAATAAATGCTAGACACTGCACTCCTAGAGTTTAGTTGTTCCTGAGTCCCTGGTCTTCAACTTAGCCCTCATAACCACATCCCACCTTACCACAATAAATCCTGCTTCATAATAATAATAATAATTATTATTATTATTATTATCAGCAGTTAGCATCCAAAAATTTATTGATAAGAATATGACACACACAAAAATGTTTGGGTACCATGTGTCCAACTAATAGGGAGAAGACAGCCATTTACAAAGATACAGTTTGTTATTCCCAGTTCCCAAGAGGACAGAATGACACAAGGGGCCAGCCACATAGGGAATCACTGGTGGTCAGGAGGAAGAAGGGGGAAGGAACTGTTGGCATACGCTTTTACTGTGATTTCCACAAGGGGAAACAGGCTTAGAATGGGAAAATCTGAGTAATTGCCAAAAGTGCTAAGGTTTAAAGGCTGTCGTATTATTTTGGTACCTGGTCTTGGGGTGATTAGGACAGGTGAATAGTAGCCTTAAAAATGAGGTGTAAAAAGGAAGCCTCTGGGTAATGAACTTGGGGATTGGTTGGTCTGTACTTCAAAAACACACTCAAAGGTAGATTTGGTTACTATCTCTAGGAACGGGTTAAAATTCTGGAAGCCTCTATCCCTCTTGGATCGGCAAGGTTCCAGGTGTCAAAATATAAAAAAAAAAACCCTCCCCCCAAAAAAACCCACAGTTAACACCCAATTAAACTAAGTACTAAAGAAGTCTGATATTGATTGTTTATTGAGCACTGACTATGTACAAGCACTGTAGCATATTAAAATTATCCTGCAGTACATTGGCTGCAAATGTAAAAATAATCATTCAATGAAATCAAGGCTTAAAAATGTTAAACACAAACACTAATTTAGAAGGACAGAGTATGATTAATTTGTAATAATAAAATTTATAATTTAGTGCTCTGACACTTACAAAACATTTTCATACATTAATCCAGTTAAGCCTCAGGGGAAAAATAAAACCCTGTGTAGCAGAAGCAGTTTATTATCATTTTAAAGTAACTATAACTAAAGCTCAATAACTCTAAAGGACATCCCCATACCCAAGACAGTAACTGGCAGCCAAGGAACTGGACCCAGAGCTGGATTCTTGTCCACTGCAGCAGCAGCATGCTCTCTTCTCCACTTCAGGTTAAACTTCAAGCATTATTTTGTAAGAAACAAATAGCTATAGCTATTTCTAACCACTGAGGATTAATTGCTCAATGCCTTTACTATAAATAAAAAAAGAATAGGCCGGCATTTTTTTTTTTTTGGTGGAGTTTGGGCCACACCTGACAGTACTCAGAAGAGATGCTGTATTTGGGACGGAACCTGGACCTCCTCCAAAGCCTGAGCTCAGCACTTTAGGACAGTGTTCTCAATCTTTTGCTGACTTACGACCCCCTTCCAACCTGGTTTTCTTCTGCGTTACCCTGTCCAAATGGTTGCCCCAACCTGTCCCATTCCATGCCCCTCACATTTACACAAATTTCACCTAAAGCCCCTTTAAAATATTGAGGGTTGGTTCACAAGGAACCAAGCAGGCCCCAGTTGAGAAATGCTTTAGGGTAGCTCTAAATTTAACCCAACAAATTCTTTACTAGGGGTATTTGTTAATAGCTTTTTTCTTCTTTTTAAAAAACTTCTTTAGAATAAAATGCTAGATATCTTTCAAAGACTTGATTTTCAAAACGAGCTTTTTTGTTGCTCAATAATCATAAGTAACAGAATCTGTTCTTTTTAAAAGGTGTTTTGATAAATTTAAGGTGGAAAATAAAAATCAAGCAAATATGTATTTGTAGCTTTAAAAAAACTGTCTACAAAATTGATTTATCATAACATACTCAAAAATTGTTTTTCTTCACAGAACTTGTTATATCTAAAACATTTTTAGATAATATAGCAATCCAGTAAAGTACTTCTTGTCAAGGTAGAAACTAGAACTCAATATTAACTTCATGGGGGGGGGGGCAGCAGATAGAAGTAGTTGGGGCCACAACAGCTGTGCTCAGGGCTTACTCCTGGCTCTGCACTCAGGGATCACTCCTGACAGGGTTTGGGGGACCATGGAGGATGCAGGATTAAACCTGAGTCAGCTGAATGTAAGACAAGTAACGCCTTATACTCTGTACTATCTCTCAGGTCCCCTATTACTTAATTTTTATCAGTACCTAAAACTAAAACAGAGCTGTCATTGCTTTAATAGAACGTTGAACAGTGAACTGAATAATAAGATTCTAGCAAAAATAAAGTCTAAAACTCCAGCAAATGAAGAAATTACTGCTCGTATAAGACCAGTATATTGGTCTTATACGAGCAATAATAGTAAATAGTAAATAAAAGGATATTCTTTTGGCCTTTTAAATTAGTGGTAAAGCATTTTTTCCTTTGCAACTCATATGATGATCTAACTCTTCTTCTAAATTCCTACATTTTACACTATTGTTACTGAATAGACTAAAATTCAAGTTATAAGGTGTTAAAGTAACAAAATTATTAGGTAGGTTGAGATAGTTACTGTTAAGTGGAGATAAAGCAAGCAACAAGGACTACAGTAAAGCTTTTTCTCAAAAGATCAGGAACTAGCTTTAGGATAGCTTAGGAGGTAATACTGGGTTCAAGAGTTCTCTGTAAAATTACCATTGCAGTATTTATTCTGAGGCTCGTTTGTAAAGCTTAGGTCTAAGCAAACCTACTCCTTGACCTAAAGGGCAGATGGTCTCACAACCTGGCGTCTTCAGTATCTATACCCACAGGCAAGGGCATTTTGAAAACTCCTTAGAGATCCCAGATGGCAATCTGAGTGCCTGAGTTTAAGGTCCTGGTCCACAACTGTGCTATTGCTAAAGGCTGTGCATGTGCTTAGTTATAAGGAAGGCAGAAAACCATTTTCTAAAAATTTCTACACATCTTTAATGATTTAATCCTAAATGAACGACCTTCTTTAAATACCATAGTGCTGGGGACCAGAGTTAACAGTGCAGCAGGTAAAATGTTTGCCATCCATGTGGCTGACCCAGGTTTGATCTTCAGCATCCCATATGGTCTTCCAAACCTGCCAAAAATGATCTCGGAGTATGGAGCCAGGAGTAAGCCCTCAAGCATTGCTGGGTGTGGTAAAAACTGCCCTGTCCCCACCAAAGAAAAAGAAAAAAAAGTACAATAGTCCTATATTCAACATTATTAGATTTGGCTTCAATCAGTTGCAAAACCAAAATCCAAAGAGTCAGAGGGAGGGTACAGTAGGTAAGGCACTTGTCATATGCAACTGAACCCAGTTGGAAACCCTGGCACCATATATGGGCCTCCAGGCACCACTGGAAATCCCTGAGCAGAGAGCCAGAAGTAAACCCTGAGCACAGCCAGATGCAATCCAAAAACAAAACAATAAAAACAAACAGCCCCCCAATTTGCATATTTTGGAAATATTAACATCTCATTCTCACTGTTATTTGAAGAATCTGATTTAGGGGCTGGGGAGATTGTTGGAAGGAGTGGAATGCATGTTGGGCATTGCAGGAGCTCCAGGTTCTATCAATGGTACCACATGGTCCATAAACAGCCAAAAGCAGGCCCTTGAGCTACGTTTTTCCTAAGGTTTCCACTTAGTTCACTAAAATAAAAAGTATGTTCAATTTTATTTCCAAACATTTGTGCACGAAGTTACAGAATTTTAACATGTGACAAAAGTATCACTAATACGTACAATGGGAAATACAGATATTTCATTGTGTAAGAATGAAAGAAAATTTTAAAAAGAAGTTCTATTCTGAATGGCACAGTACTACTTAATGCAGAGATAACCTGAAACCTAGCACTAAGCTAAAATAAGTTAGTTACAAATTACTTATGAAGGGATAGTATAGCTAGCAGGGCACTTGTGGTGGCCTATACAGGTTTGATCCCTGACAACAACTGTGGTCCCCCAAGCCCTGCCAGGAGTGATACCTGAACACAGAGTCAGGAGTAAACCCTGAGTACTGCCACCTGTGGTCCCCAAACAAAACAACAAAATTACTTATGGAATGAAACATGCTTGCTTTCCAGTTTGAATATTATACAGTTACCACTTCCAGTTCAGATAACAGCCTAAGAATCCTTTTCTAAGCATTGAAAGGTCTGAATACTTGAATTTCAAAGATCAAGTTTTCTTTGTGACTTGAGGATAGGATTACAAAGAGGTGAGCTCATTTTTTTTTAGAATTTTCCTCAAATGAGTTGGTTATCTTTAATTACAGGGAAGAGTTAGGAGAACAAGCTAAATCTTTGAACAGCTACAGAACATAATCCCCTGAAATTTGTACATGTATGTGACATGCCTACAAGAGCACACATACATATACACACTGAGACAAAATAAACTCAATAACTCAATCACATCTTTTAGAGACATAAGCTAAATATATCCCATTTCTCATGAACTATAAATTAACTGATGCAGCAATTTCTTGCATAATCTACATTGGTCTTAACTTTCTTTCACAGTTTGTTACTAAAAACTTCCAAAAATTTTTCACTGAAATTTATCTCCTTGGCCCAGATTTATAATAAAACAGCAGGAATAATTTAGAAGTCAGATGTAATCTC